CCTTGGATTCAGAGACGGTGACCCCATCACTTTCTCTTACATAAAAATTGTATTCATCCCACACTTCCTACTGCAAATCACTCTGGTACGACGTGACAATGCAGCAGATACCCAAGGACTTTTCCCACATCACACTACAAACATAGCCACCCTCTCTGGGGAGCCTAAGAGAAACTTTGGGGCTTCCACTTCCCCTCCATTTGTTTGAAGGATCAAGAGAACACAGTTCCATTTTCAACAAAAATTAAAAAGGAAAATCATGAAAAGAACCAGCCTCCTCTTTTTTTTTTTCTCTCTTAATATATTGTTGCATCCAGGGAAGAGGAAGCCGTGAGCGCCACTGATACTGGGTCCCCAGGGACCCTACAAGGGTCACTCCCCAGCTATCAAATGAGCATGTCTTCCTCTACCCGCACAGCAAGTTTGTAAGGGTACTGGAAGTTCCTTTTGGCTCCGCTCTGCTGTGCAAAGATATGAAATGCCACAGTGCTGTAGGGACTCAGGCTGTGTTCACACCTGGGTTTTCACAGGGAAGACAGTTTTTGGTTTTAAGGCTTTGGAGATTTGAAAAACCATTAGCCACGATCCTGCCAGCCTCACAGGCCTTGCGAGGAACTGTGCGTTCCTCAAGGACAGGAGCAAATTCCTTCCACATGTTTTTGGTTTTCTTATTTCTCCATAAGGCGCTGTCCAGGGCCACAGGCCAATTCAATTTGGGACATAAAATGTGACAACATCTCATTTATTCTGCATTGTTATAAAACAAGGCGTGCACCGGACAAGAATTTCCAAATGACTATACTGTCACCCTTTGAAGCTTAAAATGAAAATGGATTTGGAGTGCATCTGGCTAATAAACAGGCAGGTTCATTATTACCAATGTGCGTTATTTTACTGGCTGCATCAGAGATGTAGGGCCTAACTGGGTGATGGGCCCTGAGGAGGGCATGTGATGGGATGAGCCCTGGGTGTTATGCTGTATGTTGGAAAATTGAATTTAAATTTAAAAAATTACCTTTTTTTAAAAAAAAGAGAGATGTAGGGTCTACAGAGACCAAAGGGACTCTTTGCAGAGCCTCCTTTGTGGTGTCGGACTTCATCTTTCCTCAGTTTTCTGCTTCCTGACTGTGTACTTGGTTGTCCTTACTTCTGCCGTTCTTTCCCAGGATCTGTGTCTAAGAAGCTTCATTTTCTTCTCTGGTCCTGACTATTTACTTCATCAGCAACTGTAACTCAGAACAAAACTGAGAGAAACCAGATGGGCTTAATTCTACATACATTACCTGGTAAACATGCTCTTTTGCCAACTGAGTAAGGAGCATGGGTTTTATGATCGCTCTGAGATTCTAATTCATCCCTTCTGTCATTATGTGAGGGAATGGCCTTTGTATTAAGTGGCATTTTGTTTTGTACTTAGAAAAATATACACTTTTGTTATTGTGACAATTAGCGCCCAGCAGAACAACTGGACCCCAAAACAGATTTTGAACCACCCGCTTCTAACCCTTCCTTGCTACCTCCTTAATCAAGGCCAATGTCATCATTCACAGACTATTTTTTTAATTTTTAAATATATATTTTTAAAGATTTTATTTATCCATTCATTGAGATGCAGAGAGAGAGAGGCAGAGACACAGGCAGAGGGAGAAGCAGGCTCCATGCAGAGAGCCCAACGGGGGACTCCATCCAGGGTCTCCAGGATCACGCCCGGGGCTGCAGGCGGCGCTAAACTGCCGCGCCACTGGGGCTGTCCCATTCATGGACTATTAAAACTGCTTTTTAATGGCCTCCTAATACCATCCTGGCTTCCTTCCAACCTGTCCTCCACACGATAGCCAGAAGGAGCGTTAGAATACGTAAATCTCATCTTTCACCACCACCCACCAAACCTTGCTCAGTGGTTTCCCATATCAGCTTCACCGTACATCACTCTCCTGCTCCCACCGAGTGCCGCCACACCGTCCCCGTTCCTGGGCCACGTTCCCTCTCCCACAGCCTTTGGCATATACTTTCTGCTCTGTCTGGCATACTCTTCCCCTGGTTTTCTTCATGGATGGCTCCTTAGATCTTTAAGTTCTCAAATAAAATGTCACTTTTTTCAGAGAGACAATTCCTGACCATGCTAATTCACTATCATTCTCTGTTTAGGATGGAAGGACATATGAGAGTGAACACAAGTATGGAAAATCTTTGTATCACATGTCAACATCCACCATGTAGCAGGCACCATGGAGAGTCGTTAAAAAATCAGGCAATGACCTTGCCAGTTGACTTCAGTCCTTTACCAATAGCCACCCTGGTGCTAAGACAAAAAACAAACAAACAAAACCATATGAATGAAGTAGCCATAGTGATACATATGGAGGCTACACACGTGCCCAACAGCATAACGTACATCTACCAAGGCCAATCTAACTCCTGTCACTGCCGAATATCCAACACGCCAGCAGTCAAGGCTGATGCTGAGCTTCCAATATAGCACCGTTCCGCTCAGGAAGATCAATCAATCACTTGGCGAGAAGTTGACCATGTTGAATCTTTTTCATCTTGAAGAGCCAGTGGTTTTTTGTTTTTTGTTTTTTTGTCATAGGAACAGACCCACATTTGCCAGGATAGAGACCGGAGTGGCCCCACTTGTCAACACCCACAGTAACACACCGTTCTACTGCTCACTCCTGTAACTCTGAGTTCTGCAGGGTTAGAAATTTTCCTCCTCAAAAAGGGATACGCTTTCACCTGGGGATATAGCAAGAGTATCACTGAATCATAAGCTACAGCTGCCATCTGGGCATCTTTTGTTCCTTGTCTCCAGGGACCACCAGCACAAGGGATGGGGTCACCATTTTGGCAGAGGGAATCCACTCAGTCATCAGGAGGGAAAAGGCTGCTGTTACAAAATGGGTCAGAGAGGAGTACACGTGGAACCCAGGTAACCCATTCGGGTTTCTTTTGGTATTTCCTTTCTCACTTGTGACTATAAATGAACAAGTACAGCAACCTCATTCTGAAAAGAGGATGTGTTTTAGTCCACGCGGGCTGCTATAACGAACCATCACAGACTGAGTAGCTTAAGCAATAAACATTTATTTCTCACAGTTTCGGAGCTTGGGAATTTCAAGATCAAGGTGTTGGCAGGTTCTGTATCCAGTGAGGGCCTGCCTCCTGGTTTGCCTTCTTGCCGTGTCCTCTGGTGGTGGAGAAAGAGAGAGCTCTGGTTTTCTCTTCTTCCTGTGAGGACACTAATCCCATCATGGAGGAAGCTCCATGTTCATGATTTCATCTAAACCTAATTACCTCCCAAAGGCCTTATGTCCAAATACCATCACACTAGGGGTAAGGGCTACTAATTTAGGGTGGGAGGACACAAACTTGTAATCCTGAGCAACATGGTGGTCAAGACTCAGACCCCTTGGGGATGAGAATGTGGGTCACACTACCTGAAAAGCCACTAAGACCGGCAGAGGTAGTATCTGATGGAGACAGGGACCCAGACAGGTAATGGAGGAAGGAGAAGAGGAGTACTGGCTGTGTCTCCTAGACCAATTACAGCCGTGGGGGCTAAAGTTTATCCCACTCATCTTCCACTTCTAAGTTTTCTTTCAGAAAGACGGGCCCACTGGTATCCTGGGGGAGATACTCCATGGGTGTACATGAATAGGTGGACAGGAGGAATGCAAGGGGGGGGGCTGTAGTAGACACCGGGGCGAGTCAAGCCATGTCTCTTCAAGGAAGGACGTGTATGGAGCTGTCAATCAGTAGACAGCCTCTAGCCATTGGCTCCCTCGGGGTGTGTCCTTGTTACAGAGTCACACCTTCCTGAGGTCATTCCCTTTCCAGGGCAGCCCATACCTGGTGACTGAGCAAGAGGGGTGTGCACAGGCCTGGGCATCTCTGCCCAACGTGGCACAACTCTGATGGGCAATCGTTGCCCAGAGCCACTTGCCATGCTGGGTAAGGCTCGGTGAGGCCTGCATCAGTTTGTCCCCTCTCTTTACTCGAACTTCTCTCTCCCCCCCCTTTCTTTTCACTGGTGCTAATCCTTATTAAGCATCTTGCACCCAGATTTGTCTCATTGTCTACTTCCAAAGAAACCAACGTGGTACATGCTTTGGTGGCAAATGAGGAACTTGCTAGCTAGGTCGTTTGGAGCAAATTATTTCACTCTGCGGAACCTCCATTTCTTTGGCAGTAAAATGGAAATAACATTTACCTCTCAGGGTTGGTCTGTGTGAGGTGTGGAGAAAATCAGGTGTGTGTCACCTGGTCCAGCGTACAGCATAGAACAGTGTATGATGTTTGACAAGGAAGCCCTCTCAGAAACGATGACTTCCCATGCCGACCCGGCTTTGTGAGCTCTCTGCTGGGAAGGGAGAGCTGAGTGTTCTGTTTTCTGGCCACTTTGTTCCTAATAAGGACGGCGAGTTCTTGAACAGCATGCACCACCAGCCAGGCACTTTGCAGGTGTCTTGCATATATTAACTCATTTAACCTGCAAACAACTTGGTGAGGAAGGTTCCTAATCCCATTTGACAGGTGAGGAAACAGAGGCACAGGGAGGTCCACAAACTGGCCACAGGTTCCAAAGATGGCAAGTAGGAGAGTTGGGCTTTGAACCCCAGAACCTGACACCAGAATGTGTGCTCATTCCCAGTATAGGTGTATGGCCTCTTGGTTAAACTTTATCGTACAAAGAAGTTAACATGGAATAAGGCAGTCTTGCTGCTAACTTCCCACTTCTTCATGACACCCTTCCAGAACTAGTTTTTCTAAATGGGAAAGAGAAAAAGAGGCTAAGGAAGATATCACCTGCCTGCGGATGGTGTGAGGTTCAGGAATCCTTCCCGAAGCCCTGAGGCAGGGAGAAGTCAACATCTGTACCTCCCTGGGGTCGAAGCCCCAGGGGGAACCACTCTGGCAGAAGGTCTGAGGGCACGAGCGCGACATTGGCAACGGTCACTTCCTTGCAAAATTTCAGGTATTTGCAAATAATTAACTCAGCCTTTTCGACATGTCTTTATTTGCTTAAATTAACAAAATATAGGTTACATGCTATTTTCAGGTAAACTGCTTTTTCCACTGAAGCAGAAAGCAATATTCACAACTTGGGTGACTACACACTTGGAGTTTTAGTATTTAAATAGCAAGCCAGAATTCTGTACAAAATCAACATTTGGTGTAATGCTGTCCAAATATGCCAAGGTTTTTAAATGTTAGCTCTGTTACATTTTGTTCCAGCAAAGCAGACAGAGATCATGATTCAAAATTCGATGTTAATATTTTATTAAATTCCTTTAGGGCTTAATAAATACAGTATGCATATTGGGCTTCCTCACGCAGCGACTCATATACAAATATACCAGTTACCCCTGCGGGGTTACGAAAGGTCAGCCTCAGTCTCATGGCCAGCAGGGATTCAGATTTTTAAAAAGAGAGGATGAAAGAGGAATTAGACGGCAAAAAAGAGGGGCGTAATCATAGGCCTGAATAAAAAGGATAAAAGAAAAATATGCCACTTGGCTGATGAGTTGGCTGCTTCAGAGCGACAGTGGCCAAAAGCCTGGGAAGCACGTGGTAGTGACCTACTCTCAGAGTGCCACAAGAAGGTGGGTGCCACGCTGCCCTGACCCTTAGACTGCCGATAACCTTGGGTGCTTTTACCCCTTAATTCTCTTGGGGTGATCCCCATAGGTCTGTCCTTCAGGTTTGCGTTCTAGTTAATTAGCTCAATAGGCAAGTTGGCCCACCCTTCCCCTAGCTCAGCACTCCTACAGAGGTTGTCCATATAATTTATTACCCAAACTGGGGCTCTTTTGAGAGTTGACGTGATACTCTTAGTAATTATCCTGGGGCAGAGGTATAAACCAGGGTTGCTCCAGGCACACCAGGACGTTGGTCACTCATCAGCACACAAAACCAAGCTTTTAGCCTTAGGTCTCACAAAATCGGTATCTATTTACCATCAGGCTAGACTTGATTGAGTCTCTCATACCCAGAGTCAGGAACTAAAAACAGGCTTTATAATACACTTCCTAACACTTTTTAAATTACTTTCCTTAGACCTTTTTTTTTTTCTCCCTCAAAATGAAATTTTACTTGGAAGGCTCACATGAAAAACAGATGAAATGTGAGCCCGGTGGAGTGAAGTGGGCATGAGAGCTGAGTTTCTCCTTTTCCCCTCACAGCTTTGTAGGGGCCTAAGAGGGACCTCTGGCTCCTCGCTCCACAACTTGGAAACCACCCTTCTAGACCATACTCTCTCCATCTCAACATGAACTTGATCCTCAAACATTCCCACGATTCATTGGTTGGAAGACACTAGAGCTTGCCATTCTGGATTCCCTGGTTCCAGCGAGGCATACCCAGAATGAGCTGGAAGTCTGAAGCCCCGAAAGCAGGTCTACAAGCACTCTAGACTACTGAGAGAATGACCTTGTAAGAGAACCCAAGAGCTGGAGGGTCACAGAGCATGCCACCGGCCTCCTTGTGATGTTATCAGGGGCACTAATAAGCTATATTCATAAGGAATGGAAGGCAAGTTGCCCCTCGGAGGACTTGGGACAGTTTCCTGGCACAGAGGTGTGCTTGTACCCACAACAACCCACTCTATCGCCGTCAGCATCCCCTTTGCAGGAGCTTGACCTCAGAACAGGGGTGGCAGTAGGAAACCCAAACAGCTTTGGCACTTTGCGGTGGTGGTGAGGCTGGAAAAAAAAAAAAAAGAGCTTTAGGCGAGGTAGCAGGAGAAACGCGTCAGGGATCCACGAAGCCCGTGGGCAGATGATAGAAGTAGATGAGGCTCCGGGGGAAGAGAAAAAGCCGGCGTCCAGCCGTCAGAGAGACAGGCCAGGCCCTCCAGAGAGATGTCCTGGCAACATTAGGAGGAGAGAAAGCCAAATCACAAACAGTACCTAGCTCTACAAATAAGAGTTGAAACTACCACCCAAGAGGCAGTTTTTACATAAACACAGACACAGTACCAGAGGGTTAGTCACAGGTGGGCGACCCCCGGGGAGGCGGCTCTACCAGGCGCCCGGCCTGGGGAAGCCTGCCCGCCCGTTAGAGTCGTCACCACTCACTAGCATCGTGATTCAAGCGTCTCGGAGGAAATAGTTAGTCACTGCGGGCTGGCTGGGTGTGTTTTAAGTGTATTAAGTGACCATAAACATCACAGGCATCATCTTCTAGAACAAAAAGTGTGTGTTTATACAGTGTGTGTGCGTGTGTGCCTGTGCGTGCACACATGCATGCGTGTTTGTGTCCTGATGAGGCTCTTACACGACAGATAAGAAACCCCCAGTCAGCGGTATGACTTCAAAGTCTCCTACTCTTTATTTTAATGAGTCTGAAGCCAGAAACATGTATTTACGGAGTTCCTGGGACGGGTCTTGGGAGCCACCATGTTAGCCCGCTCAGTTTTTCTCAATCCTGGCTGCACAGGAGAATCATCTGGAGCAACCTTTAAAAAAAAAAAAAGTACAGGAGTTGGCGCTCCACTCCAGACCAAATGAAATCAGAATCTCAGAGGTTGAGGCCTCAGCATCAGTTACTTTTTTTTTTTTTTTTTAAGTTCCCCTAGATGATTCTAATGTGCAGGCAGCATTGAGAACGAGTCCCGAATCCCCCTTTATCAGTAAGTGGCTGATGGTTATTCTAATATTCTAGATAAGCGACACTTGGATGGCAGGAATCCCTCCCCGCACGCCCAGCTCCGGCACTGGGGAGAAATCCAGGGCTTGCAAACTCGGTTGTGCAGCTGCTTGGTGGGCCGCAGGCCCCAGAGCAAGGCCTCCAGGAGGGAGCTCTGCTCAGGCCACAGAGGGTGAGCCTGCAGACGCTGAGCACTCTGGGGCCACTGGGGAGAGGCTCCACGCGCCCTGCCTGAGGCAGGGAGCCGTCGCAGATCGAGGCAGGCAGGCAGGCATCTGAGTTCTGCTGGGTTTTCACCACTTTACAGTCATTCATATTTTCTTGAAATTCTATCTTGTATCTGCAGCAACTATTGAGAGCATCCTCGTCAATACCTCACTCTCCTTTTCCTTTCTGGTATGTTGGATTATTTAATGACGGTGATTTATATATATATCTATGTATAGATATATACACACAACTAATGTTTTCACCTATCTGGAAAAATATTGTGAGTTCCACACATTCAACTAAATCATCATTAATAAGGTAACGTGTCAAGCACCATATTTTTGCAACTAAAAAGAAATTTACCACGTATTGCGTATTAGTCAAAGGAAGACAGAATTTCTAAAAGCACCTCAGCATCAGGGTCCAGTTCGGCCCGGCGAGCACGTACAACATACTGTCCAGCAGGAGCACGCGGTAGCACCGGGGAGGCCGGCGTGTGTGCCGGAAATCGGGGTCCTGGCGTGGCCTGCGAGGGAAGCATTCATGTGGCGGGGGACAGTCCCCGCTGGTGCAGCCCAAGGCCCTGGCTGCGGCAGGTGACAGCTCACGCAGAAGGCGCTCCTGGCACGGCCTCGCTCCCATTGTCCAGACGTGATTTGAAGACCGTGCACTTAGATCCCTAAAAGCACCGCTTGTTTTTCCATCTTCCTCTCCAGTAATTCCTTTAAACTCTCATCTCTGTGCTTGAAGTACAAGTAATCGGGGAAGGGGGGGCCCCGCCGGGCACCGAGCAGAGCCCGCGGGCGGAGGCGCTCCTCTCCGCGGGCTCGGTCCTGGTCCCTCTCCTTCTCGGGGCCTCCCTCCGGCCCCGCGCTGTCCCGGGCCCGGGCCTTGGCCTCTGCGCCCGCCTCGCCCTCGGCCTGGCCTGCTGCGCAGGGGGGCTGCTGGGGGTGCTGCGGGCCCGGGCTGTGTCGCCGGGGCTCACGGCGGGGGTCGTCCTCCTCCTGCTGGGGGCGGCAGCTGGCCTGCGAGCCCTCCCTGATGGGCTGCAACTGGGGCACCCCGGGCCCGCGCTTCTGGGACAGGTCGAAGGGCTCCTCCTGCTCCAGCCCCCCGAGGGCCGCGGCCGCCGGTGCCAGGGTGAGCCTCCCCCGGCCGAAACCTGCAGGAGCAGAGCGGAACTCAGGCTGGGGCGCGGGGAGCCGGCCCGCCCGCACCAGGCCCCAGGACAGTCGGGTCTGCACCCCAGAAGCAAGCAAAGCCCCGGTTAAGCATCGGCTCCTCGACCCCAGCCCAGGTCTTAACCTCAGGGTGCTAAGCTCAAGTCCCGCAGGGAGCTCCGGGCTGGGTGTGCGGAGCCCAGCCAGAAAAAGTTAAATGAGGTTAAAATTAAAAGTAAAATATATATTGGCAAATTGAACTCCAATTTAAAAAAAAAAGCTGGTATTGAAAAATAATAAAATAAAATAAAATAAAATAAAATAAAATAAAATAAAATAAAATAAAATACGCTCCCAGTAAAGCTGTGGAGAGACGGGCCTTGTCGCGGATGTCGTGGGCATCAGGAGGGCTCCTTTATGGTAAATTTGGCAACAGGCGCCAAAAGCTTATAATAAGCAGCTTCTGACTTAGCAGTTATACCACTGAGAGCTTAAACTATGGAAATAGTCAAGTGCACAAAATGTGGAAGGACGCTCCTCTACCACATTTTTTTTTATAGTGAAACTGAAAGGATAGAGGTTTTAGATAAATGATACAATGAACACATGTAGATGTAGAGACCGACTAAGGGTCATAAAAAGGTAGTCTATATATTTTAAGTAAAAAAAACACCTATATTTATCATATATATTTATAGTGTAGGCCCCATCTTATCTGTCTTCATCAAAAAATATCTGGATGAATTTATGCCAAAATCTCACAAATTAGGTGATTCTAACATTTTTCTTTTCATTTTTTAAAAAAGATTTTATGTATTTATTCATGAGACACAGACAGAGGCAGAGACATGGACAGAGGGAGAAGCAGGCTCCATGCAGGGAGCCCCATATGGGACTCGGTCCTGGGACCCCAGGGTCACGCCCTGGGCTGAAGGCAGACGCTCCACCGTGGAGCCACCCAGGGATCTCTCTTCTCACTTCTAAGATATTCCTTATTCTATTATTTTCAGTGAACATATATTTTACCATAAGAAAAAAAAAAAACATAGCAAAGGTATTATCATCTTGAAAAATACATGTGTCTAACACTTGGAGCCAAGAAGGCCACCCCATAACGGGGCCCCCGAGCACGGCGGAGGGGAGAGGGCCTGAAGAGACCCAGAGCCCCCGTGTGCACCCCAAGGATCCGTGCTGCTGAACTCTGCAGTGCCAAAGGGCCTCCCTCTCAGCCTGGGGTTGAGGGCCCTGTGAGGGGGGGGGACCTTGCCGGAGCCCAGGAACACAGGTCTGCGCCCCTCACCCCAGGTGTGATCCCGGGGAGCCAGCAGTCAGGGCCCAGGCGAAGGCGGGGGCGCCTACAGGAGCCGACATCCGGCCCAGGCTGCCTTGTGATGTCAGGCAGTGAAGCCGCCCGCAGCTTTAATCATACAAGGCGCGTGGGGAGGATCTTTTTAATATGATTCAGGATTTTTTGGGGCCGTTTCAAACACTGGAGTGCAAAAGTGCTCACACCGTTTGTAGATGAAAACATTACAAATTGTTGAAAGTCTGTTAACTTTCAAAGCGTCTCTCTGATACATAGTGACGCTCTTTATTTTTCCACAAGAATGACAGGCTCGTCAGGTGCCTTTTAGGATCTGAGCCCCCCGTACGGGGTAAGTCATGGTCACCAGGTTGGGCTTTCCAGCGAAGGACCCTCTCCTCATTGCCTTCTGTTCCCAGCCCAAGCAACTGGACAAACTTCACCAATTCTGGAAAAACCCAGGCCTAGGTTGGAAGTTGGCTCAGGCAAGGAGAGATGCAGAGAATACTCCGGGAGAAAACCAGTCTCCGCGGGGTGGGGTGGGGTGGGGACTGCTTTTGTTTTTTAACTGGAATTTTTTCAGGGCTTTTGCATGAACTCTAGGCTTTGCTCTGTGATGCCCACAGCTCCCGTCACTCGGTTATCAACGCGGGTAGTGTGAAGAGGATGAAAACTGCCTTCATTCTGTTCCACGCTGTGGGGGGAACGTGTGAGTCCTATTTACGAATATGTGCGCCCACTGGCCACCCCCCGGGGAGGGCGGGACAAGGGGCAAATGTGAGCCCATCACCCCACGAGCACTGGCTTAGTGCAGCAGGTCCTGATCGAGCCCCGGGTCCAGGGCTGCACAGTCCACGACGCTGCTGGGCCTCAGTGCGGCCTGGGCTGTGGAGCGGGAATCACCCAGGCCAGTCTGGGGGGTGCTGGGCACCCCCGGGGCGTCTCCGGAGTATGGAGCACTGCGCAGGGAACAGCAGGGCACCATGGGGTCTGCAGCCGCGAGCATGTGTCTGCTGTCCCCGTGCACACACCCGCTGCTGTTGCCTCCCTGGTCCCCAGCAGCCGCACCTGCTGCCCGTTTGTGGCACGACCGCCCAAGGGGGGCAGCCCGCCCAGTGGGTGTGCGAGCCACATAAGGCCTCCTCAGCTCAGCAGTGGAGCGGGAGGGAGAGGGGTCCCCGCACAGTCCAGGGAGGGCTCCGCGGGGACCCGGGCACTGTGCCCTACGCATGGGCCACTCAGCCGACCCAGCGGGGAAAGCGTGCCTGGGTGCCCCGCTCTTTTGGAAAGGGGAGAAAGATCCCTCGCCCTTTAACGGCAGCGCGATGGAAAGGATCTGCCCAAGGCGTTAGTTCAGGGTCAGGCAGCTCTGCGTTCAAGTCTTGGCCCTGCCGCTTTTCAGGGAGGTGGCTTTGGGCAAACCAGTGTCCTGCGGCCTCAGTCACCCCATCTTACAAAGCTGGGGCTGGGAGACATTCCTCTAGCCTTGCGCTGTTGAAAGATTAAAGGGGACGGGACACCCGACGTGGCGTCTGGAGCAGAACCTCATCCCAGTCCTGGGTGGCATCATCATGATACTGCGCGGCTTCTCTGTGACCCCTTTCATGCACCACCTTCCGACAGCAGCGTTGCATGTGCTGTGGTAATGTCGAGAGCCTGCTCCTCCACCCCTGCTGTGGTCTTGACAGTTATGACCCCTTTTAACAAGAGGAATAACCCATCCCCCCCCCACGGAAAGTAAAGCCCCCTAAGTGCAAGCTCAGCTCCCCGGTGGTACCCCCTGGCCTCAGCGGGCCGGGCGCCTCCCAGAGGAATGCTTACCTTGAGAATGGAGGCCCCGCTCCATGACCCCATGCTTGACTTTCATGTGGCGTGTCAGGTTCCCCTTTAGGGTGAATTTGCTCGGACAGTAGAGACACTTGAAGGGTTTGCTGTCGGAGTGCAGGTGCATGTGGCCCATTAGGTTGTGCATCCGGTTGAACTCCTTCCCACACAGCTGTTGGGGGCGATGGGGAGGACGAGACAGGTTATTCACGGTGTGGGCTCCTCCCCCAGACGAACCCGCACCCAAGCCTGCGTGGGGCTGCGTGCACTGCTGCTGTGTGGGGGTCTCGGCATGGTAAGCGGCCCCCAAGGGAGGTGTCCCCAGTGAAGCCAGGGATGGCCTGCACCGGGCCCAGGCTCCGACACGGAGCCAGTAGGAATGGAGTCATGAGACCGTGGTCCTGCCACCCGGTGAATTTGAACACGAGGCAAAACCCTGCAAACCTACTGCAGCTTCTTTTGCATGCAGGCCGCACAGAAACAGAAAAGCCGACCTGAAAAGTGATTGCTCAGAGTGGGCTCCGCTCTAACGGCGCATACACGAGTACGGGCTTCCTATTTGCACGGCGTTCGTAACGCAGAAGGTCCTGTGCTAAGCCTGCCATGGACTGTCACCTTTAGTTGACACCACCAGTCCCAGGAGAAGGCTGCGGTTATCACCCCCAGTTCACAGATGGACAAGCGGAGAGATTAAGGCACCCGGGCCAAGACACGCAGCTAATGGGTGCCCGAGCAACCCCAGAGGCCATGTGGCCAACCACCACCCCGTCCTGCGCCCCCTCAACACCACTCTTCTGCTAGACTGTGTCATGCAACATGTTTCTAATCTTCTTACTGCTCTTGGGAATGGAAGGCAACACTAGAAGGGACAGAGGGACCTCAAGCAAGGCACGTGTCTTCTCTGCGGGCCGGGCTTTGAAAACACGATCTCAGCTTTACCAAAGGCAGACGTGTGCTGTTGTTCTTTCCTTTCTTTTTTGGTCGTGCTGTTGTCTCTGTTTCCCACAAAGTGCAGACACACCATGGACCGCGACCGTGGTTCTCCCACTGCTTTTGAAAGAACAGAACCGCCTTTTCTGAAGGCAATCTATGCAGACGCCCAGGGTGCACAACAGAGCCCGCTGCTCTAGGGTGTCCCTTCCTCCCCTTGTTCCCCAAGCCCTGGCGCAGCAGGGTTCCGAGGATCCAGCCCTTCCTCGGCCGTGTGCGGAAGAACACGGAGGAGGGTTTTCTGTGCATGTGAAGAAGGCCAGGGCGCTAAGGAAGGAGCACGTTCCCTCCCCACCAACCCCAGAGGCCCGTGTCACCCGGGCAGCCATATGGAGCGAGAGACGACACGGAGGGAGGACTCGGGGCCACAGTGGCCCCTGAGGCTGACACCAGTTTTCCTCTCTCACTGAGAGATATTTTCAGGGACAATGTTGGGAATCCTGGGTTGAATGTTTATTAACCAAGGAACTGTTTTCCTCAAGCGGCCTTGGGGAGAAGAGTTAAGCTGGCCCTAGAAGAATGGGTTGGCGCAACAAACAGTGGCCTTGGGAGACCCGCCGGAAAGGATGCTGGGTGGCATGAGAGGGGGCCGGCTGGGGGTGACGGCTGTGTCACAGAAAATCCACGCATGGATAATGAATAACGGGTTCTGTATTTTTTTGATGATTCATATTTGGGGATTTTAAGTCCTTTTTCTCTTCCCTCTTTACTTCCTTGCTGGCAAGGATGAATTTGGCACACCGGTGTCCCACGCTCGGGATTCCGAGCACCTGCACACCACGTTCCTTTGGAAACAGTGGTCCAGGAGGGAAAAGATTGAGAGTGCTGGTTGGTCTAATTTTAATGTCCTGGGGAGAAGCCCCGCGTGTGGGATGGGGACTTGCTTTCTTTTACTCTCAACAGGGGACTAGTTAGTGAGATGAATCAATCTGTGACTCAGCTTTTCACATGTGCGGACGTTCTGGGAGACTTCTATTTATTAGCTTCATCATCCAATTCTCCATCCTGGCTACAGGGGATAAAAAGCTTTGAATCTAGAGAGCCTATGTTAGGTATTTCCACTCACGAGTCATTTTAGGGAGAAAAAAAAAGTACATCTCATTTGGTTCGTGGGATGGTTCCTGATTATTTGAAGTGAGGCGGCCACAAAAGATCTGAAAACAGCACAAGCCCTGGGCTGTTAAGCACAAGATACATGGGAGCGGAGGAGCTGAAGGCTGCAAGATTATATCCTACTGCACTAGTCCAAGTGCGTACAGGTCTCAGGGTTGTTCAAGCCAGACAGAATGGAAGGCACGGTGCCTTCCGTACCCGGCTACTATGAAGGGGAGCTTCTACTTTATCATCTCTAGTTGCTAAGGTATCACCAGCCGGACTAGTCTGAAAAGGTTTTTATAAAGGGGATGGAATTTCAGCCTAACCTTGAAGAATGTATAGGGCACCATTTGTTTTTGTTTTGCTGCAGAATAAAGTCTCTTCAAGTATTTTCAGGCACTTTATTCAACCTTGAACCTACCAGGCAAGAACGGTGATTGCAGTGGTGCTAACGACTGCCTGTTTGTTGTTGCCCTGGCCGCTGCACCTTGGAGGTCAGAGGGACTACGCATTTCACCTGCCCCGAGGTCCCCTCTCCCTGTCCCTTTCCCTGCCCCACTCCCACCCCAACACACAGAGCTGTGCACACGTCACAACAGCTACTGGTAAGCACTTTCCACATTCTTCCTTAGCTCTAGACAAGCCACGGTGTATGATCCTGTAACACAGGATCATGTGTCTACTATAGCGTTATTCTGACTCAATCAGTTCACTCCTGAACATTGTGGGGGCATTTTTAGTGGCACGTGAGTATATCAGGACATTAAAATGATATGGTCCCCTGAAGTCAAAGAATGTGGCTTTGGGGAGGGTCCCCTGTAGGACATGACTGCTCAGCTACATTATCTGAGGGTGATTGACAGAGGAGACTTTTGTGCTGTTGGCAAAATTTATTTCATGCATGTCAGAGTTATCCTTCATGGTTGATGGTAGCCTATTGGGCCAACTGATGGAAAGCTTTTGCAGGATTGGATTGAAGGTGTCTCAATCTGAAAGAGGTCTGGGGCACTACAAGGAGCCCTAGGTTATCTTCCAAAATGCAAGGGCGACCTTTCCTATGTGGCCAACCTCAGTATCAAGCACAGGGCTGTGCACACAGTAACATTTAATAAATCTCTAAGTATTTAGTTGGGAGACCAAACAAACAAGTCAGGAAAATATTCCTACCCTGTGCAAAAATTCCAAAAAGCAGCCATCACCACATCTCTTCCTTTCTCCTACTAAAATGTCTATAACCCTATACACACTAGTTTGGAAACCAAAATCCTTCGTGGCAGGAGGACAGGGACAATTACTCAGGCCCTGAGGCACCTGGACACCAGTCACATCTCCATAGTGGGCACCCTTAGCTTCTTCCTTTCAGCTCCTGACCCTTCCGCAAAACCCTTCGGTCCTTATTCAGAATACCTTATTCGGAATAGGCTGGGTATTCCTCACATGACAACAGATGAGTGTAGAAGATATTTTACGTCTATGAGATCCAGAGAAAAAAGACCCCTCAGCCACTGTTAGTGAAGAGAGGCCAGAGAGAGTGAACTGGGTAAATCAAAGATGACACCCTTGGGTGGGGTTTCAACATGTGAGCCCCAAGAAGAATCCTTATAGGAGCGAAGGGGAAGGAGACCAGAAGGAAGAAGGAGAGTGATCTGGGAGGGATCACCAAAATGCTAGTTTCTTCTCCCAGGGAAAGCAGTGTGTGTCAAGGCCCCCTGTAATCATGAGGTGTGAGGCCAAGAGCTTGCCCAAGTCAAGACTTGCTGAACCATCTCCTGCCAAGGTCTGCGCGGATTAAATCAGGGCGGCTGTTGTTGATACAGGGAGCTCCTTGAGTGGAGAAGTCCCAGATTTCATGGTGCAGGTGGTCATCTTTCAACTAGTCTGCCCCTCCTGAACTCTCAATTGCTTTAATGAGGGGTACGAGTGTGCCTCTGACTCAGCCTTTCCATCAATACCAACTCTAATGCCTACTTTTTAAACAGAGGGGGAAACCTCCACATTTAACAGAACGTTGGAACAACTGTTTTGAACTGTCCTTTGCAAATGGGCTGCATGGATCATCGGGCTTTGAGATAGCAGCTCAGAGAGGTGATGGCGAGACCCCGGAAGGATGGAGAACTCGCTCCATTTTCTCTTCTGTAAAACGTCAGTGATAATAATAGTTTCTTACAAAGGTTGTTATAAGGATCAAATGAGATAATTCATGTAAAGGGCTTGCCAAGTAGTAAGAGCTCAATAAATATTAGCTCTTATGATTGTCATGTACATAGTAGACTCTTATACATTCTGGAAAGATACAGATCTGTAAAGATAAGAGTGCTTTTTAGGCCAAGTTATTTGGAGGAAGTATTACAGGGAGGCCAAAGCGAGGGATCCTTCGGGTAAATACTTGCTGGGTCGCTGGAGGCTGCAGAGGCAGTCGTGCCCGACCCAGCGCGGACATTGTGGTCGGAAGGAGAAGCTGCGCCCTGGCCTTGGGTTGCAGCCTTTGGGAGAGCCCCTCACGTGGCTCCTGGATCCCCAGTCCTTTAAGCAGCCGGCAGATGCCGTTCCCTGAGCCAGATCCCAGCCTCCCCGGGCCCCTTCGTGCAGGTCCAGGGCCCGGAGGCACCTCAGGCCACTTGCCACGAGCTGCGGCGACAGCGTGGACAGCCAGTGACACTGTGTGCAGGGGCGGGGTGAGGGCAGCGGCGGCCCCGGGGGAGGCCCGCAGAGCCAGGAGGCCGGGGTGCACCAGGGGCCCTGGGGGTGCGGGTCCCGGGAGAGCAGGTCGGGGCGCCGGAGCCTGCGGCCCACGGGCAGGGCCCTGCTAAGCCGCCCTTGCCTACGCCTCCTCTCGCGCTCTCTCTCTTTTAATAAGAAGGGTGTTCCTTTCCTCAAAGGGCGAGGGAGGGAGGGAGGGAGAGAGAGACTGTAAACTGTCCAAAAGGACCGTGAGAAAACAGGAAGCTCTGAGAAGTACAAGAGAAAGCAAGATGAAATCTGGTCGCAGGCGGCCCCCGGGGACTCGGAGGCATTGTTAGGCAGGCGGTCCGAGCAGCTATATCCTTCCTTCTCGAGGAGGGCTTGGCTGCCGAAAGGCTGCTATCTGGTCACTGCCTTAACCCCCTCCACGCCAGCCCCAGGGCCCTGGCCCAAAGGCCGGGCCCCCGAGGCCCCCCGCGGCGTGCCCCCCACGGGGCGCCAGGGCCCAGGCGGGGAGCGGAGCCTCGCGGCAAAGGCAGTGGGGCCCGGGCCAAGGAGGCCTCGGCCCTTGGCCCGCGCTGCCCTCCGCCCGCGGGCCCCCGCCCTCGCCGAGGCTGCGGATGACCTGGTGATTCATAACTCAGGCAGCTCCCGGCTTCACCCATCATCTCAAAGGAGAATTTGTCCCGGAAATTCTGGATGGCTGCTTTTCCTGGACAGGTTTCCCAAAGACGGCAGCTGGCTCTTCGCTATTATGGAGCGCGGCTGCCACAGGGATGGCATCCAAATCAACCCCTGCGCGCTTACGCAGAATCTGGGAAGCATATTTCTGAACCGTGGCTCAAGTCTACAGGCACGGGTCTCTGGAGGCACTCCAGCTGGCTCCAAGAAGCAGGGAGGCCAGAAGTGGAGCCAACAGCAAAGGAGTCCAGAAGGGCAGTAATGGGTTTTTTTTATACAAGAAAAATATATATAGAGAGAATGGAAACCTTTCCTCTCCTCTAATTTTCCATCCTATTGTGAATGCTTAATCTCACGGTGAGCGCATGTTGCTGCTCGCTGAGGACAGCTGTTGCCACTGAGCTCGGGGCCAGAGCGAGCCAGGTCACGCTGCAGCAGGGGGAGGGCTTTACGTCAGGAGGACTTTTAGCAGGGAGAAACCCAAGAAATTAGGCCCTGTTCCTTCAACACTCTCCCCCTTTCTACAAGCTTTTGGGCAAAACGGACAGATCTAACTCCTGGGGTATGACTGCATACCCCAGGCAAGGTCTGCCTTTTTTTTTTCTTTTTTTTTGTTTCCAGCCACGTCAATTCTGTGACGCGACTATCTCTTCCCTGTTACCCACGATAAAGCTTTTGGGTTTAGTTTTCTGGGCCTCTCCTCCAGCATCACTATGCAGATAGCCAGCCACTCATCTGGGATTGGCTATGGTTTTTGTGGTGATGAGCAAATGGCCCTCCATTCTGTACCCAATGCCCAAAGTTCCATGGACATCCACCGAGGGCCAGGTATTCAAGAATCCAAAGCAACACTGGTAGCGAGCAAAGCACATAGGACACCATCTGGAGACGGCCTGTGCTGCAGGGGGATCGGGGGCCGGCTGACAAACACAGAGCTGGGGTACATACTCTGTAAACTCAGACATGCTCTGAAGCCCCTTTGAAGCAAAGAAGGGTGATGAGACCAGGAGGACACCAAGCAGGGGGGCACTTTGCAGGGACATGGGGACAGAGACAAAGACCCTGGCAGGGCTTCTGGCACTTCCCAGGAGGCAGAGGGCTCTTCGGTGAGGCAGCTGACACCTGCCCTCATTTCAGAAATGTCTAAGAATGGAGAAGGCCCGCCCATTTGACAAAAATACCCTTCAACACCCACTAATTTTTAATCCAATGACAGATACACTGTCCTAGGCAGCCTCCTGACCCATAGTGTGGTCTCCTGGGAAAACCTCCCCACCAGGGAAAGGTGGCCTTTGCAGACGACACAGCCAATTCCCCCACTAGGCCCATCTGCCACTGAAGAGTATAAACTGTGCATCATCTCAGAGCTGGATTTCAGCCCTCAAGCCTCTCTCATGGAATCTAGTGGTGTTAGGATACATCTCAAGCCTAATCCACCCTCAAAGAGAGGTCAGGGTGAGTTTCTGAACCGCAGAGTGGATCCTCAGGCACCCGCTGCACCATGTATGGTGCGCTATCATGGGGGTGGGTGGAAGAGGGGGGCAGGCATAAGGCATCAAGCAAGGCTGGCTCACTGAGCACTGGGCCCCGCTCACACCACGTCATGCAGTCTTCTATGCACTGGTACCCGAGAGAATCTTCTCAGTCCTCAGGTACCACCTGGTCCAAGAAATCCTCCAGACCCCTCTGCATCCCCAGATCAAACCCAGCCTGCAAGCCCTTTTCCTGCATCAGCTCTGCTCCCTGATGAATCCTCTGTTTCAGAGATGCTCTCTGCCTGGTCTGACCCACAGGTCCTGCTGCACCTGATGTGATGAAGGAGGTGGCAGTTGGCTGGACTGCACAGGTGTAGAAGGGACGGCAAGCAGGGCTCCCTTCACGTTTTAACAACATACGTGTCCTGCCTCCGGCCAGTGAGATGCAAACGCACAGTTCATGCTCAAAGCCCAAGAGTGAACCGAGCACAATGAAGGAAGAGTGGCCAGCAGCTCCCATTTGCACCTCCGTTGTAGGGGAAGCAATCCCCCGGCCGCGGGACAGCTGTGCTGAAAGCAAAGGGCCCAAGTGGGAAGCAGGGAGGAAATCAAAGTGCCTAACGAGAGAGAGAGAGAGAGAGAGAGAGAGAGAGAGAGAGAGAAGGGGTGTTATGCTGAGTCCCCAGGTTCCCGAGGCCATGGCTGGCTTCCCGGGCCTGTGTGCAATGCAGTCACAGAGGCCCCAACCCAGAAGGGTCCTCCTGAGTTGGCTCTAATGCTCTACTTTCACTGCCCTGAAATTCTTAATAAGGTCTAACGAGGGGCCTCACATTTTCATTTTGCACCAGGCACTAGGAACGGTGCAGCCTCATCTGCACGCAGCTTCCTCCCCCTTCGGCTCAGATGACTCAAGACGCACAGGAGTCAACTTTCAAACCACCGGGAGCTTGAAGGAAAGGAGGGGAAACACGAGTGGGTGGCAGGAAAGGGCTGGAGGGAGAAGCCTCCCTCCCCCACCTCCAGAGAATGCCCATTCGGGTCTAGGGAAGCTCTGGTTCCTGACCCCTCTCACCCCGTCCAGGAGTGGCCGACACAGGAAAGCCGCTGGCTTCACAGGGGGTTCCTTCAAGTGGGGAGGGGGTACGGGGACATGCTGCAGAGGGAGCAAGGCAGGAAGAACCCCTCTGATGGGCAGCGCATGGCATCTGGGCCCCATCAGACACGCAGTAGCACAGAAGGCAAACGTCCACTGCAGACACAAAGGCTCCAACAGTAGCTGAAGGCGTGATTCCCCTCTGCTTCCCCCAGCCCTGTCTTCACCGCGGGCCGCTGCGCGCCTGAACCCCCCAATCCGCAGCCGATTCCCTCTCACGGGGCGAGTGGAGAAGGGAAACGGCACCGGGGAGGGGTGGAAGGACGGGGAACAGCCTGGGAGGCCCAAGCGTCTCTAAGCAGTACCCATCACTCCTGGAGTTTTACGAATCTTCCCAGCTCCTATGTGATCTCAGCTATGCTATCCCTAAGCCTACCCCTAACCCTACCCCTACTCCTACCCCTAACCCTACCTCTAAGCCTAAGCCTAAGCCTAAGCCTAAACCTAAGCCTAAGCCTAAGCCTAAGCCTAAGCCTAAGTCTAACTAGCCGCTGAGATAAAAGTGAGATGAGGTAACACTCCAGCCAGTGAGGCGGATGCAGGCATTCCCACGGCGACGCTGCACGCCTGCCCTGCATGGGACTTGGGCACCAACGGGAACCGCTTCGGACGGCGGCGCTCACGGCCAGGCCTCAACCCCAACGAGCACTTCTAAGGGCGCTGGAGGCCCCAACCTCGGCCTCCCTCCCACCTAGCCTGGGAGACCCAGCCTCAAGTCACACAGCTCCATCCTCGTGTCCGGAGGGGGGGGTGGTGGTGCCGCAGCCTCTCGGGCTCCCTTCCGAGGTCCACCCGTCGGCTTGTGGGGGAAAGAGGCCTAGAGGCCGTTGCTCCCTCCCGGGATGAGCCGCTCCACCTCGCCTTCGTCCTTTAGCCACCTCATGCCCCCGGTGGGCCTTCCGTCCTCCTTCCTCCCCGCGGGTTGCCTCCTCCCCTGCGCACTGATCCCACCATACGACACACAGGGCCAGCTTCCTAGGGACCAGCTAGGGGCTGGTGCAAGCACAGGTGTGGTGCGCAGAGGAACAGAGCCATGGACGGGCCTGGGGTTGGCCACAGCAGCCCCATGGACGAAACACAGTAGGACGTTTCCCGGAGATCCTCTTCCACTGGCCATTGGCACAACCCTCTGCATCCTTCAGGTGTGCACCGCCCCCCCCCCCCCGGGCCCACTGCCCACCTTGCATTTGAAAGGCTTCACGTCAGAGTGGACGATCATGTGTGCCTTGAGGGTCTGTTTCTGCACAAAACTCTTGTAGCAGAGGTGACACTGGTAGGCGCGGATGTTGGTATGGATGAGCACGTGTCTCTTCATGTTGGCCAGCAGAGTGAACTCCCGCCCGCAGATCCCACATTTGTGCTCCTTCACACCCTGGAGAGAAGCAAGATTCAAAACGCTGTGGTTAGCAGGTGACACGCGTTCATCAGAATTAGAATCTTCACTTCTTTCTTTGCCACGCGAGTCCACGGAGAGCCTGGTGACAGATGCTGAGTTCCAAAGGGCGTGGCTTTGGCCTTGCTAATTGCCATTTTCCTGAAAAGTGTTAGTCACATAATCTTTTCTGTTTTCTGAAAACCATGAGCTAAGCCAAAACTTTAGGGAAAAAGAAAGCTACTGCTCCCGTTGCTCCTGCTGCTACAGGGGTTAATTCTATAGTAACAGTTCTGGGGATTAATAGGATTTGGGTAAGAGCCCTGTGGAGTGATATGTAAAATGAGACTACAAACTATCTTTGGGGAAAACAAACAAACAAACAAAAAAACCAAAAAACCAAAACCTCCTCAAGTGATGATAGCATTTCTCGAATGAAGAACCATTGTTTTCTTGAGTTTTCCTTAATGGATTTGACAATCCCAGCCCAGAAGAATAAGTGATATGCCCGCTTGAATAAACTGCAACTTGATAAGCACCCTCTTGAAATAGTCTCCCTCAGCTCATAGTGACCTCTGCGTGATTGGGCCGTGGAGCCTCTGCTCAGCTAGCTTCTGTCCTAGAGAGAAATCTGGAGGCAGCCAGCTTTCTGAATTAGAAAACAGGACAGAAAGAGACTTTGTACCTTCCCCACTGTTCATGGAGAGGGGCTGAAGACGTAAGCATCGGTGCCCTCAGTCGAAGCCCTTTCCAGGGACTCACAGCGTGAGCAGAGTAGGAGCGACTCCTGCCTGACCAGTGCTTCCCTGAAAGGGCCTTTGCAAGCCATCCTAGCACAGAATGACTTTTCAGGAGGAACACTTAGAGACCCATGGCGTTAGAACTGAGGCTGGTACAGGATTAGAACGAGCTGCTTAGCTAACCCTTATAAAACACCTATTATCTGATACCCATAGCGACCTAGGGAGAGAGGAGGTCTAAGTGTAGCTCTGAGTCCTTTCTTCAAGGTGCGACATGATAGTGACATATCACTCCTCAGTTTTGGTGAGCCCACGGCCCCCAGGGGCAGGTCCAGGTCTCTGCCCAGCCATTTAGGGGCTGTGCAACTTCAGGCGAGTCTCATGTTGTTGGGTCCCTCCTCTCAAGATGTAGCTCAAATACCTCTTGAGTCTAGATGACTGTCGGTGAGTAGGAGTTCATGCTCACCGAGAGACGGGAACTGTAATGCCCTCCGGAGAGGGTGAATTTTAACAGTATGTTGTGTATTCAAGCAGAGAGTTTAAAATTCTGAAAGTCATGAAAGTTATATTCTTGATGGGTCTCAAGCATTACCTCAGCATCTTTCTTCTCAAGATCGCCTCCCCACTTGTCTAGGATTGTGCCGTCCTGCGACCGAGAGTGCCTACTTATCACTAAAGAGAATTCTGTGTCCTAAGTAAAATTCACATAGAGGCTGGCCTAGAACTCGTGAATGGAAACCTGGACAAACTCTGGGAACCGAGGCAGCGACTGTGTCACTAATAGGATCAGTGAAATCACAGAGATGGAGCCCATGTTAGGAGGGAGGGAGGGAGGGAGGGAGTAGAGAAGGGGAACACTTGACAATAGCGTTCAAGGGCTCAGGCGCCAGAGTCCGAGGGTCTGGGGGATGGCCCCCTGCCTCGGTGGTGTGCGCATCTGCAGATCTGGAGTAGTGATACCTGCAGGGAGCTCTGAGAGTTGTTGAGGCCCTCCACAGGGCTCTTACCCAAATCCTAAATGAGAAGGAGAGCGCCTGGTCCGCAGCAAGTGTTCAACAAACACTACCTCTCACTGTTGGCTGACACTGGGAATTAAAACGCATTTTGTTTCCTAATTCAAACGAGACATTTTGGACACCAGGCTGTTTTGTCCATTTTTTTATTTCATTTTCTACTTTCTTAAGAGAATTTCTGTATGTTCTAAAATTCGTCTTTGATTCCTTTTCCACACATGTAGAAGCCCCTGCAACCCGCATAGGGCTTTAAATCTCAGGCCAGCTTCTTTGTGGATGGTTCCTGTGCTTGGCAGGTGCCTCCTCCCTGGGTGGTATCCTCAGGTGCCTTTCGTAGGGCAGGAGCTGTTTGGCTCTGCGTCTCTGCTGCGGAGCCCAAAAATGCCCACATTGTGTCCTAACCTATCAAACGAAACCCCATATGGAAGGGTAGAGAGGCTATCCTGGCTGGGCAAAGTCCTCCACTGGCCTTTCTAGAGTAAAGAGTGTATTACAGACTCTGGCTTACTAGACATCTCTCCTGCCAAGGAAACTACTTGAGGTCCAAAGCGTGAGGGCAGAGGTCGTTGGGGCAAAGCTCCCCTCTCAGAAGCTCACAGCAGCCCCAAGTTAGCTTAGCTGGCTAAGATTTCAGGGACACCAACAGGGCCTTGCCTTTGTTCATCCCAAATGACTCCAGGGCTCTGGCTGCAAAGTAGGCTGCACTCAGGCCCTTGGGCCGTATTTGTCCTTAAAGATCTGAGCCTAGGGAAGGTCAAACCAAACCCAACATAAGGGTGTGCTCTCACTCCTCCCATGAAACAAACCACAGGACACTGCACCCAGCTGGGCAGGGGCTCCACCACCGGGAGCGCAGGCCTGGCTGGACCCAGAGCCACATGTGCACGAGGCAGTTCTCACAGCTGCGTGAGAAAACCACCCAAAAGAGCTGCGTGAGAAAACCACCCAAAAGGCAGCCACTGCGTCAGCAGCAAAGGACCAAGGGAAGTGTCTAGAAGGCGGCTCTGGTTAGTAACTCCCAGGCACAGAGCTGGTCTTGGTTCCTGAGTGTGTCCTGAGACACACTCCTGCTGATGCCCCAGATGACGTTTTGGGAAACAGGGCTTCAGGGCTCAAAGGGGGCTTGGGAGCAACAGCACGAGGCCCACGGGGCTCCCTCTGGCCTTGCTCACCCTGCTCTTCGCTCTGTGCACATTACTTACCCCGGGGCCCACCCGAGACCCCGGAAGGCTGGCTGGCAAGGGGCTGCAGGCCTGGTGGGCCTCCGGGCCAGGCCGGGGGTGGTGAGGCCGGGAGGGGAGGACCCAGCGAGGGTCCGCCTCCCCCCCCCCGCCCCCGCCAGGTGCCCCCCCAAGGCCCTCCTACCTTGTGCGTGAGCGAGTGCTGCTTGAGGTGGTGCGGCTGCACGAACTCCATGCCGCACTCGGAGCAGATGTAGGGCCGGATGTCCTTGTGCTTCATCATGTGGTTCTGCAGCTGGCTCGGGTACTGGAAGGTCTTGTCGCACTCGGAGCAGCTGTACTGCACGGGGCCCCGGTGCGCGGTCAGGTGCCTCTTGAGCTGCGCCAGCGTGGGGAAGTCGAGGCCGCACTCCACGCAGATGTTCTCGCGGCCGCTCGCGTGCTTGGCCTCGTGGGCCTTGAGCTCGCTGGGGTAGGCGAAGCCGCGGCCGCACACGCGGCAGTTGTGCGGCTTCACGTCGCTGTGCTGCATCATGTGGCGCTTCAGGTGGCTGGTCTGCGTGAAGGCCTTGTGGCACACCTGGCACTTGTGCGGCCGCGTGCCCTGGTGCGTGAGCATGTGGGTGTGCAGGTGGCTGAGCTGCTTGAAGAGCTTCCCGCAGCGGCCGCACGCGTGGGGCTTGATGCCGCTGTGGCCCAGGATGTGCGTGACCAGGTTGTACTTGGACGTGTAGGACTTGTCGCAGCTGGGGCACTGCCAGCGCTTCTGCGCGCCGCCCACGTCCACCAGGTAGCTGTCGTCCACGCGCACGTTCACGTCCACGCGGTCGGCGCGCGGCGGGGCCTCGGGCCTGCGCGGGGGCGGGGGCGGGGGCGGGGGCGGGGGCGGCAGGAAGGCGTGGCGGCCGAAGGGGAAGGCGGGCGCGGGCACGAAGAGCGGCAGCACCAGGCCGGGGGGCCCCTTGGGCAGGTAGGCGTAGGGCGCGGGCAGGAGCGCGGCGGGCCACGGCCGCTCGGGGGGCTCGGGGGGCTCGGGGGGCCGGCCCGGCTGCAGCCCCACGTGGCACAGGTCGATCATGCGCGAGGCGCACGCGGGGCGCGGCGGGGGCGGCGGGGGGCCCGGGGGCGCGTCCTCGGCGGGGGGCCGGCAGGGCACCTTGCTGGGCACGCTCTTGCGCCTCCGCGACCCCCCGCCCTCGAAGGCCCCCGGGAACCCGTCCAGGTGGCCCGCGGGCGGCTCATACCGAAACTGCGAAAAGGGGCCCCGGAGGGCCTCCGGGAAGAGGTGTCCCTGTGGGGCCTTGCCTCGGGAGACCCCCGGCTGCAGGCAGTGCGGGAAGGACGGGGCTCGCTTCAGCCCCAGCTGCAAGGGCACGACCTCGTCCTTGATCGCCTTCATCTCCCTCGGCGTCCTGGGCCGCGCGCCTTCAAAGAGAGAGAAATGCAGTGTTTTTTACAAAAGAAAAAAGGGTTCCTCGGCCCCCACGGGCAGCGGGGGGCATCAGGGCCACCTCAGGGGGAGTGACCCTCTCAGCCCAGGGCGGGTTCCCGTCGCTGCGGTGCAAAGCCCAGGCCTGCTGCACGGGGACCCCAGGGCGCCCACAGAACCAGAGCGGCAGGCCGGGTGTCAGGGTGCTTTGGGAAGACACCTGAGACCTCAGCCAGCTTAGGGGTCCCCCCTAGGATGAGGGCGGCGGTAGCAAGGATGCAACCCGTGAAATGACCTGCATAGTGGGGGAGTCAGAACTGAGGTGCAGGGAATCCCTGGATGGCTTGGCAGTTTGGGGCCTGACTTTGGCCCAGGGCGCGACCCCAAGGTCCTGGGATTAAGTCCTGAAGGAACCCTGCTTCTCCCTCTGCCTGTGTCTCTGCCTCTCTCTCTCTCTCTCTCTCTGTGTGTGTGTGTGTGTGTGTCTCATGAACAAATAAAATCTTTATTAAAAAAAAAAAAGAGGGGATCCCTAGGTGGCGCAGCGGTTTGGCGCCTGCCTTTGGCCCAGGGTGCGATCCTGGAGACCCGGGATCGAATCCCACATCAGGCTCCTGATGCATGGAGCCTGCTTCTCCCTCTGCCTGTGTCTCTGCCTCTCTCTCTCTGTGACTATCATAAATAAATAAATAAATAAATAAATAAATAAATAAATAAATAAATAAATAAATAAAAAATTAAAAAAAAAAAAAAAGAACTGGGGTGCACTCTGACGTGGGTTTTCAGCCTGAGATGGCCTTGTGTCTGCCAGTGGGACTTCCATGTGTCTTCGGGGTCACTCCTGGTCTCAAGGAACCAACCTCCCTGCCCGTCCAGGTCTTGGGGGCCTTGGCTGCTGGAGGACGGGGAGCGTTCAGGTCCACACGGGTGCAGAGATTTGCCTGCTGAACTCGGATGTCAGATTTCCCGAGTTACCCGCTCCAAGCCAGGTGTGCTGCTGGGCGTACCGAGCAGATGGGGTCAATGTGATGAAGGAAAGCGGATCAGACAATGTCACCAAGTCATCTTGGCAACTTAAGCCTTTTCATCTTCCCCGTGAAGCGTCCGCAGGTGAAAAATACCAGGATTGTGAATCTCTGAAACCGCACTTACATCTCCTCCTTCCCAGAGGTTTCGGGATAAAGCTCGGCCTTCGCCGACTCCCGAGGCAGGTGACCTTTCTTTCTTTGCTGGGCCTGCATCAGGCATGTGCGGGAGAGGGTGTGAGCTGGACTCTAAGCCAAGGGCTCTGCGTCCTTTCACGCGGCCCCCTGCCACATTTCTGCACCCCTCGTGTGGACGGTGGTAGAGAGAACCAGGTGGCCAACTCCACATTTCCAGGGGGGGGCCTTTATGCCCTAACCCTCTGAGCTTGAAGGGGATCCTTAGGGCCCTGGCCTTGGAGATGGCTACGTGCTGAGCACTGTAGGTTGAGGCTCCCCGGTATGAGAGGCCCAACAGTTTCTGGTGGTTTTCTTCAGTCCTTGATGCAGCAAATGTAATTTTTGCAAGTACCTGGGTATTAACAAAACTGCTCATGTGTCTTCATGAGAGGTTTGAGAACTGCAGCACCGTTAAAACGAAAATGGGCCTTTTTAGGTTGGATTACCAGTTCCATGCACAGAGCATTCAACGGAGAGAAAAACTATGTGCCTTTATGATACGAATATTTGGGTGTTACTTAAAACCGTTACAGAAAATCATCAGAAAACTAAAGAATAATGTGTATTGATCTTTGCTTTGTATTTATGTGGTGGGGAGTTAGCTCTGGTTTGTCTTCTTTCTGTGGATTTGGGGTTTAGTAATTAAGAGCAAGAGCTTGTTTAGCAGAAGGAAAGCTCAGCCCTACCTATGTCCCATCCTCCTTCTCCTTCCTAAAATTGTTTACCAAAATGCCAGGTCTTCCCCCACTGCTAACCCCAGGACCAGGCACCTGGGGAAGATGAGGAGAGCGGCAGCGGAATGAGTACCTAGGCTGTGAGCTTGGGGGTGGCCGCTGGTAGGTAGGCCCTGGGCGGGGACGGAATGGTTTCCACGGTCACTGGGTCTGGCCTCGAGCGGCAGCAAGTCCTGACCCCTGAATTCGCATGCGGGTCTAGAGGGGCTGGTGGACCCTGATCTGACACCCTGTTACTTCTATAAAAATATGTGGCTTCCAGACAAGGTCAGTGTGTCCTCTTGAAATGGAGGAGGAAACAATGGCAGCTCCTTTCTCTGGATTTCATTTTGGCCACGTTTGGTTGTATTCCCCCGGTGGCGAGAAGGGTCTATTTGCAAAAAAAAAGGCTTTTCACACTGGAGACAACTACGCCAGGCCACACGTGACTATGGCAGACCACAGCGGAGCCCATCCAAGTGCACACTGGTCCTTTTTTATTGTTTATCTGATTTAGAGAGCTTGATTGAAAATTAGTTTAAAAACAAAAACAAAAACAAAAACAGACCTACCAGAGCGTGGGCCAGAATTTATTAGTTCGTTGAATATTTTATTGCTAAGGTATTAGAAAACGTATGGCTAATGATGTTTGGCGTCTTTATACCGTGCGTGATATCTTATTACTAGAAAGCTACTTACATGGAAACGAATGTTTTCGCTCATTTTTAAAACAAAAGGTGTTTCATTATTGTCTTTGTGCGGCGTGTCTGTTTCTAGTTGTGACACGGTCTACTAATTGGGTCCCTTTACTGCGTTAGGAGCGACGTTTTTAATACAATACTAATTTCAAAAGCATATTTACGTTCTGTGTTTGCGTCTTAATTTTGTCGCCGTCGACCTAGTCAGGTAAAGACCTATTGTTGAACACAGATGACGTGATTTCTTTTAATATCAACGTCAGAATTGTGTCCCCCAAATGTAGAGATTTTCCGTATGTTCGTGTTAATCTCCTCCCTGTATTGACTTGATGATGATCTCCCCCAGTGTCTGACTCTACCCCTAAAAACAGTCATGTGCCTGTTCGAGAATAAAATCATCAATTCAGGAGCTTTAAAAAGGCATGGGGATCCCTGCATGGACGTTTTCCCAGAGCTTTCAAACGGCGGAGCCCTCTGCACTCCGATCTGGGGGCGCCCCCCCAACCCCCCGGCAGGCCCGGAGGAGGCATGTGCCCCGGCCCTCCCAGGAGGAACGGCTGTAGCTGCTGCTGACCCCCAACAGCACAGGTGCCCAGGGGAAGGAGCCCAAGGGGTGGGCGGGGAGGAGGATCCGGGAAGGGCTGCTCCCTCGGGGCATTAATCTTGGGGTCGGTGAATTTAGGAGGCTGAGCGGCCTCTGTGACACACGGACGGCCCCGTGCGCCCCACGGCGGGCTCCCTTGGACCAGGTCCCCCTGCGTGTGGCACATGGGGGTTCCCATCGGGGCCTGGCCGGAGCCTGTGGCCCCTCCCGGGACGCCACCCGTTGGAAGCCGGTTCCTCATGCACCACGGCACTGGCACTGTGAAAGCAGCCCCCTGCGCTGTGGTCGGAGCCCTGCGCTGCAGGCGGGATCTGGGTTTGACCTGTGTCAGCGGCTGTGAGACACCGAGCCTGGGGGGCTCAGGTCATGGGCCTGGGAACCGGGACAAAGGCTTGCACTGAGCCCCTGCTCAGCGGGGAGCCTGCTTCGCAGGCTGCTCCCCCCCCACCCCGCCCCGGGTTCTCTCCCCACCTCCGCGGTCTTCACCCCCTCTCTCACACACAAATAAAATCTTAAAGAAAGAAAGAAGGAAAAAGAAAGAAGGAAAGGAAGGAACCTAAGCAAGTTAATTTGGGGGCTTGGCTTTCTCGTCCATGACCTGGGGGTTGGGTTATTGCCTGCGGGGTGTTGAAATCTTAGAGCCGTAGGGAAAGGGTGTTAAGCCCTAGACGGTGTGGTGCCCTGGAGGGGTGAGGGGTGCGGTGCCCTGGAGGAGTGGGGGTGCAGTGCCCTGGAGGGGGTGGGGGGTGCGGTGCCCCAGAGGGGTGGGTGGCGGGAGGGCAGGGTTGCCGTGTGATCAGTGGATCGATGCCGGCTGACAAGGTCCCTTTCCCAAGCGAAGGCTCGTGGTCAGCATCTGGGTGTCTGCTCCACTGCTCAAAACCAAGACTTAGCTCATTTGCTCTGAGTTGCTCTTGTTGCAACAGCAGATGTGACTCCCGACAAATGAGTATTCATTCAGTGTGGACATGGGTTCGAGAATAGTCCCCACCCCTTGTCCATGGCTCGCTTTCCTATCCGGGCGTCTGTTCTGAGGCTGCCTTAATCACCAGAGGCTTTGGTGAGTGGGAACTAGAGGGCTAGGTGGTCTGCTAAGCCATTTCAGCTGAAGGATTGTCCCCGTCTGGTGGCACCAGTCACTTTCCCAGAGAGAAGAGCACCTGTCAAAGCTGCAGTGTCAGATACTTAAGATGGTGCTGAGCCAGCAGAGGCTAAAAGACTCCTGGAATTCCCTCTAGGCCGCGGGGCCTGCTCGCAGCGGCAAGTCCAGTGCCCACTTGGTGCTTGACGCCGAGTGAGGGCTCTGGAAGCTGCTCTGGGATGAGAGGAGGAATGGAAAGGTCTTGTTTTTAAAGTCTTCACGTGGAACTTTCATTTTATTTATTTTTTTAAGATCTTATGTATTTGTTCATGAAAGACAACTCGATCCCAGGGCCTGGGGATCACGCCCTGAGCCAAAGGCAAACGCTCAACTGCTGAGCCACCCAGGCACCCCTGCACGTGGAACTTTTAAATGTATAACCTTATCTTTATTTAGACCACAGGTGACTTTTGGAGACCTCCCTAATCAGATCATGAGCACACTCCAAAACCGTAGTCAGGTAGTTATTGCACAAAGAACTTGCGTGTCCTATTGCTCATCCCCCTCGGTTTCCAAGGCCTACATTCTCTGACCTGATCCTCAAACCAGGGTGCGCCCTACATCCTGGCTATTTCCAGGATGCAAAGGACACAGAAATTAATGCTGGGGGGCCATCCTCAAAGTGCCACAAGGTTCTC